ATGAATTCAAAAAATGAAATTATGAACCACATGAAGGTTCAAATAAAAGCCGCAAATGATACTAAAAGAAACTCAAAGTGTATATATTGTATTATTTTCGACAAAAACAAGAGAGGTGAGCATAACAAGCTCTTGAAACAAGTTTCAACCCAAATAAATCTTTTAGCATCCGGTAAACCTCCCGGAGGTGGCTTAAACATATAACCTCTCATATGCAAATACAAAACAAAGTATATATCTAAAAAGTGTTTGATCAATAGAATAAATCTTTTTTTGCAAAACTTGATCAAACCACATAAGGAATACATTATAAACCACAACTAGATGATCCGGAAGCTCAAACACATAAATGTCATCATAGGAGTGATTTAAAATGATCCAATAAACATAAACACATAGTTCAATCAAAAAAATTAAAAACAAGGTATAAGAGCAAAAAAAATGATGTTTTAGCAAAAAAAATAAAAATTCATCTTGATAAAAATTATATCAATTCATAATGGTTAAAAACATGAAAATCTATAAAAGGGAATCATGAAAAAATATGAATGGTAATTTTGCAAATCAAATACCAAGAATGAAATTGTTTTCAATTTTGTTTATAAAACTTTAAAAAAAATTGTCTTTAAGAACATGAAAAACTAAAACAAAAGAAAACTAAAAATTTGTTCTTAAAGAATAAACATGTTTTGGTACCCATTACTCTTGGTACCTAAGAATCTAGGGACATGACCCCTATCATTAAAGCTTAAAGCCCTAGTGTTATGATCCCTTTTGGGCATATTTTGTGCACGGATCCGGTCATAGTAATAATTAAGAAAATGACCCATTCGATTGCAATAAGTGCAATGAAGAGGATACATTTGTTTATGTTGACCATGTGGATGTGCACGTGGAACATTTGCAAACAAAGATGAATTATTTGAACTTTTTTGTAAATGCGAAATACTTTTAAACATGGGTCTATTCGGAACATTTTGTAACATAGAAGCCTTTTGCAAATCATAACAAAATTTTATAATATGTCCAAATCTACCACAAACATTGCAATTAAACACATGTGGTATTTTACAATCATTTGGCAAAAGAGAATTCCTTTTTAAATCAAAACAATACGTGGCCAAATGACCAAAACGATCACAATATTCACACTTATACACACTATCATGCTTATGATGAACTTTGGACGCATGTGCATGTGTGTGTGATGATGAAGCTTGATGGGATGCACAAACATGATTAGGCTTATTAGGCTTTTGTGCATTATAACAAAATTTAGCAATATGGCCTTTACGATCGCAAATTGAACACTTGTAAATTTTGTTATACTTGTGTGCATAGTGAATAGATTTCTTGGAAACAATTTTGTAAGACTTTGCACACTAGTCCATAAGCTTGTTGTTATTAACAATGCAAGTTTTTAATATTGAATCTAAAGAGGATATTCTACTTTTAACATGATTCAACTCATTACAATCCACACAAGCATTGTTGTTAGAAGTAGAACATGCATGATCAATTTTGAAAGAATTAAGCTCTTTTCTTATGTTCTCAACTTCTAAAATAGCATCATATTTAGCATGAAACAAACTAGTATTTTCTAATTTTAGTTTTTCATTGCATTCTTTAAGATTTATATTTTCATTTGCAATGCGATCAAACTTAGTGGCTAGTGTTTAATGAGAGGATTTTATTTCGACATCCTTGCTTTTTAAGTTAATGTAGCTACATTGTAATTTTTTATACTCATGCATCAATAATTCATAGCTATGTGCGAGTTCATCAATAGTAAGATTATTTTTGTTATCGGACTCGCATACCTCACTAGGGCTATCGCCTAGTGGTCGTGTACATGAAGAGGCTCCTTGTGAACTTGTATAGGGAGCCGCTAAAGATCGTCGGATCGCCTCCAAGTTCCCTTAATGTACTTCAAATAATTTCCAAATTGCATAAGCACTATCAAAATTAGCAAGTTCATTAGAAATACATGGACCAAAAGCAGTATGCATAATTCTAACACTAACTTGTTCATTGTGAACATTTTCTTGTCATGTTTGCTCCACTTGGATTTCTCCGAAGTGGGCACAATATAAACATTGTCAATAACTTCCCATAAATCTATGTTTCTAGATTAAAAAAAAAATTGAATCTACAACACCATTGTTCATAAGGAAAGTTACTATATCTAGGAGAAATATTTATATCATAGCCTACACCAAACATATCCATAATATATGAGCAAGCGAATTAAATTATATCAAAACAACATTAGCAACAATATTAAAGCTTGGACCGTTAACTCAAGGCGGTTAAACCATAAATCAATAGCACCAAGCTCTGATACCAAATGAAAGTACCCTAGAGGGGGGTGAATAGGGTTATTGCTAATCTTATTAGATATTAATGCCGATTAAAACTTTATTAACAAAATATTCTTAGAAGATAGATATACAATGTAATATGAGCAAGAATATAAAAACAGGAGAAATTAAAAAATAAACAATATAAACAACTAGTGGACACAAAGAGCAATCCAAACATAATGATATGATCACGGAGTTCGGACCATCCGTCCTACATCTCCGCTCCGCACTCCCGGGGAGAACTCCACTATCACAACCGGGTTTTCTACGCTCACCTGAACAACGTTTACACCTCATAATTCGGTTTTTTAGTTTACCGAAAACTTTACAACACACACAATTACACTCACACTCTACACCCTCTAAGTGTTGGTCTCTAGCCCGTGTTTCCCTCAAGTGCTCGGAATTACAACCTACCTCTAGGCATTACTATCGACGCCACTCCTCATGGGACAACCCCGTCTCTCATCACACACTCCTCTCGGTGTACAAGTGTGATGCAACGTGTAACTCATAATTAAGCACAATACAATAAAATGTTCTCTACTATAGGTGAGAACTCAATGTAAGCTTAATCTCACAAATCACAATCCCACAACCCAATATATGATGTATGAAATGCTACAAGATCAAATAGGGTGTGTGTGTGATAAAATGAGTATAAACAAAATCTAACTCAATTAACAAACTAGCAATAAATGATAATAGGAAAAACAAAAACGAATTGCTAGAGAATAGAGTTAGAAAAACTTCTCTATAAACACAAAGAGGTTGAAGAAGATTGAGGATGAATTCCTCAATTGAAAATACAAGCTTCCTCTTTGTAAACTCAACCACCAAACTTAAACTTGAGAAACAAACTTTTAAAACACTTAAAACTCTTATTAAAAACCCTCTTAAAAAACTTAATTCTGATGAGAACAATAGGGGTTTATATAGGAAGAAAAACCAAGGCACAAAACCCAAACAAATCCAGCAAAAAGACAAAAAATAGAAGGCTAGAAAAAACTAGCCATTGAGCCATCAGTCGACTGACGGGTTTCATCAGTCGACTGATAAGCTGACCGTTGTAGGCATTTTCAGCTCATCAGTCGACTGACAACCTTATCAGTCGACTGATGATCATATCAGTCGACTGGTCAGTCGACTAAAACAAAACAGAAACATTTTGCAATTATAGGCACTTTTATCAGTCGACTGATTGGTCGATTGATTTTATCAGTCGACTAATCAGTCGACTGATAACTAGTATACAGCTTGTTTTAAAGCAGAAATTTGATTTTAAACCGCCTTTAAAAATAGTAAACAAATTCTCATCGTTTGGGAAATGATTGTAGACATGATAATACACATGCTACAAAAACTGGTTTTCAAAAAACATCTCCCAAATGTGAAATCTCATCGTTTTACAAAATCACATAAGTATGAACATGTTAAAAACTTGATTTTGCCAAAATTACTCATACAAAACTTGAAACACTTTAGGATGGATTTAGAGACTTATACAAGATATGAAATTATTGGAAATAAGTCTTCAATCCATAAACATAATATTTTACAAATTCAATAGAATATGAAGTATATAAATGTGAAAATGAAGATATATATTTCTTCATATCTATCTATATACTATATCTAATATCTCTTCCCCTTGAAAACGCCACATGGCATCTTTTCTCCTTGAAAACGCCACGTGGCAAGCCTTCTCGTTGGAAATTTAAATAATCTCTTTGTTCAAGAAATAAATCTCTTTCCCTTGGAAATTTAATGACAACTGTAAACTTAATGATAAAATTAATTACCTTTGAAAACACCAACTTACGAAAGCGAAGCGAAGATTAATTTTGCAGGGGGACCATTAGGCGACAAAAGCCAAGCGTTTTTTTGGAAGGACGTGGATCCACCTTCCATTTCCAAACGCTTATTATTCATTTTCCCGTGCCAGCCTTTTTTTTTTTTTTTGCAACTTGAGCCCCATATATCATACATTTAATTGCAAGGTTTAAGATTGTAAAAGTGGCATGCAGATAGCAGAGCTATCACAAACAATGATGTTTTGTAAAAGACTAAAGTTTGTGGGGGGTGGGGGGGGTGGGGTTAGGCGTATTATGATTGTATTAGTTTGGGGCTTTGTCTTGATGCGCGAAGAGGTCTAGGACGATTGTACAATAGGTTTATCAACAATTAATTCTATATATAAAATCTATAGATTACATTACATAACAAATTAAGGATATCAATCTAAAAACTTTCAATATTTTAGGGCAACTAGAATATGAAAATAAAATAAAGATTAATAATTTTCATCTTACTGATACTTGATTAACATTTGTTTAGGTCCAATTTGTGTAAAAAAAATTCTAAATACATTTTTGGCCACCAATTTGAGTTCACGCTAAATAACTCCTGTAACAATACCTGAGAAATAAATGTTCTTTCGTTTGTTTCCCCAAAAAAATAAGACGTCATTTGGTTTGTAATTAGAAGTTGAAAATTTTATTGTTGATCCTCTATCCGAGATTGACGATGCCTCTGATGCCCATTTATTTATTCAAACAGGATATCATAGAGGACGAGGAGTCCGATTCCCGTTTTGTATCGGGTTTGGGTTTAGATAGTCCACAATTTGATCAGCACATGACGTCACCCGACACGAACGTTCCTTTTGCGCGGGAAAGCACAAACCCAAAGCTACTGTACGCCTGATGCTCCAGCCTCCGGCCTCTATAAATAGGGGTCGCGAGGGAACAAAACGCCGACTGATTTCTCCCCCTTTTTAAGATTTTCTCTGAAGGTTGCAGAGGTTTGTGCGCATTACCAGAGATTGAAAGGTATGTTTTTCCCCCAAAGCTTCATAATATTTTAGCCGGTCATGGATATGGGTAAAAAATTTTAACTATTTATTTTCATTCAATGTTACAGTAGGTTGTTAGAGTCAGTTGTTCAAGTTGAAAGGTATGATTTTACATGTTATACTCCTTCAAATGCAATTGAATTAGAGGTATAATTTTATATTTTGATTGTTAAGTTATATGGTATTTTATATGGAAAAAATATTTCGGACCTATCAAATGTATCTATACATTGTACCTATCAAATGTATCATAAGCTTTTATTTGAGCCTGATGTTTTTCTAGATCAGGTAAAGTTGTGCCAGAAGCTTTTTACTTGAATATGTTTAACTGCTAACTAACTAGATGACTGTTCGACTATCATTTTTTTTGTTAGCAAAATTATTTTTTTTCTTTGCCTAAAACGGTGTAGCTCTGTCAGAACTCAGATGTTCTTACATGATAATAACTATACAAGTAACATCAGCTGTATGATAATAGTTGGAGATAGTTTATGTGGTTCTTCCTATGATACAAATTCATGAGCTAAATTTGGTCAAAGCCAAATAGTAGACGGATTAATATCAATCTGGCAGACTTTCTATTCTCTCTTAGTGAATATATGATACAATACAGTTGTACCTTTATGGGTCATTAGTGCATTCATCCTGTTGTTTAGAAAGTTCTTTAAGATCTTTCAATATTATTATTTACTCAGGGATCATATATCCTTGATAAATTTTTTGTAGCTTCGAGTTCTATAATTCTATGTATATCGATCAAAGTGTAACTTCTACAGTAATGGAACGTATACACTTAACTATTATCATCTTATTTGGATATTAAAGAGATACTTGGATATCATCTTATTCCGATAGTGTTTATCTTGCATCAATATTGAATTACGACGGTAACTTTGGTAAAGATAAAATACATAACATTGATGCTTTGCTATGTTGTTAATGATTATTTGGACAAAGGAAAAGGAAGCTAGCGCCTTGATAGACACATGCTATAAGTTATCCAATATATTTTAACCATGAAGTAATTAATGGCCTGTTCATAAGCTATTTAAATACAAAATGAGTCATTTTCATTTATGCAAAAGATCTTTTTATATTTGAAAAAGATTTATTTTTATAAAATTTATACATTTCACTATGTAGAAACTTGATAGATAAATTAATAGATAAATTCAAATCACAATTAAATGAAGACCGCTGCTATCTGATTACGAATTTTGGTGTTAGAGACAATAGTGGAAATTATAGAGCTACTGATCATGCATATAGAATTAACTTCCTATACTCTACATTTGTTAGAGAATGCGAGATTTCTACAATACCTTCCTATTCATTTGGATTAGTTTATTTTGGGGATATAATTGCTAATCGTATCACCTCAACTACCTTAATAGGTAAGATACAAAGTCGAAAACTTTAAAATAAATTTACAATTTTTCTTATTGCCTTTTTTTAGTTCAATACTACTTTTTGATATGTTTGACACTTGGGAGCTTTTTATTCATTTTTTAATGTTATATGACATTTTTCAGATATCATTGGAGAGCTTATTACTATTGGAAATGTAAAAGAAGTTGAGAGCAATGGAAGTAAAAGAAAATTACTGGAGCTTGAACTCCAAGATAGCAATTGAGTTCAAATATGTACAATATAGTTACATATTTCTTAATAGTAAAAGTATGTGTGTGCATATGAGTGTGTGTATATGCATTTCGTACTAAATTTTTTTCTTCATGCAGCAACATTAAATTACAATGCGGTTTGTAGGGTGATTACGTTGTTCAAGTTTCACAATATGCACAGAGAGCTAATTCAGGAATTATTTATAATAGTGATTCAGCTTGCGAAGACAAAACCATATGGAGGTAAATCAAATTAGATGTATACTAATTTATCAAAAAAGATATATTTTTATTTTGTAGATTATGTTTATATATTGAAAGACTCATGAATTTAAAAACTTTATTTCTTAGGTAAAATTACTATTACAAATGCCTTATATGCGTCCAAGATATTAATCAATCCCGACATACCTAAAGTTGCTGATCTAAAAAAAAAGGTACATGATGAATTATCTCATTCGTTAGTTATTTACAAATAATTTGATATTATTTCTAATTAATTAATTTTACTATCATAAGTCTGAAACTTATGGAAGATTCTTCGTCTCAACGATTTAGTCAGATTCCAACTGAAAAACCTTATTCCATCGAAACTGATTTTTTGTTATTAATTGAACGGAAGACACTTGATGAAATTCGAGAGGCACGAGAGGTAATTATTTTGAAGAATTGACTTTATTGATATTGCACTGCTTATTTAACGTGTGGGATTAGTTCAACACACGATAAGTAATTTGAAAATAATTGATAATTTTCTTCCAAATTATTCATAACTTTATTTTCTTATTATTTGATAATACTTAGGTTTGCACATGTGTGACATTGGCAACTATACAAAAAATTCAAACAGATTATAATTGTTTTACAATGCCTGCAAAAAATGTCAAAGGAAGTTATAGGCTGAAAATGGTAAATTTTGGTGTGAGAAATGCAATAAAAATGCAAGATTTGTTATCCCAAGGTACGTTAGGAAGTATGTATGTCAGTTTCTTCACAAGTTATATTTCATCATATGCTTCATGAATGAAAGTCTCGATCTTATACGTACACTTTATATCATAGTTCTTATTGGTTTATTTTAATTTTTGAGTTTCATTAGGTACAAGGTTCAGGTTTTAGTCATTGACCATACATGTACTACATCATTTGTTCTGTTTGATCGTGAAGCTAAACAATTTATTCACAAAGCTGCAGTCGAATTGAGGTAATGGCTGACAAAAGTAACCACTCTGATTCCTTTTTGTAAAAATTAAAAGTTTTAATTCAATAGCTTTACTTTGCTTCTTTATATTGTTCACAGGAAGGTAATGATGATTCATTTTCTCAAGAGTTAGATGTGTTGGTGAAAAAGACACTTTTTTTCAAGATTCAAGTTTCAGAATTCAATCTCAATCAAAATTGGCCTGTATTTTCTGTCTCTAAAATGACTAATGATGAAAATCTGATTGCAGCTTTCAGAGACGGCTTAGATTTGAACCGTGTACATTACATTACATTACATATTTCCTTCTTTTATAGAGCTACATATCTATTCATTTCATGTGTCAATCTGCATATATATATGAGGTTGAGCAATATATTAGTAATATTTTTCCTTCTAAATCATTAGGAGTCAACAGGTCAAGAATATTTCACTAATGAAGTTGAATCTACTAAAAAGAAAGATGATCTTGATAATGTAAGTCAATACACTTTTTTTTCCTTTTTCATTCCTCATGTTTGTATTTTTTTTATTTTTTATTTGTTTATTTGTGAAATGAAAGGAAATTATAGATGTCATACCAAAAGCATTATATGTACAACCCCCATCCAATTATAACTATGATCAAAACTAATACTTATAGTAACACCTCAACACCTCTCTCCATAATCAAGGGGACAATTTGACAACGCAAAACTCTCAAATTCTCTTTTGCTGTATATTTCACAATACCAAACTAAATATTGATGTTGCCGCTTCTTTCACATTTATCACTTTGTATTTCATTTTATTATTGTTCTCTTAATTCTTCATATTAATAGTGCAAAAATCATTTGTTTATACCTTATTAGTATGCTAACTAAATAGATAAAATAAACATGCATTTATTTTCCCAGAATGTGTAGAATATGTTTTTTGCAGTTTGATTTTTTAAAAGGATGCACTATATATTGTCAGATTCTTATCTAACATATGAGTAGAATGACTTTTAATAATACAATTAAAAGGATGCACTATATATTGTCAGATTCTTATCTAACATATGAGTAGAATGACTTTTAATAATACAATGTTTTTTTTTACCATTTGAGTTTTAGAAGTTTTCAAAACAAATGAAAGCTTTAAGTTTAATTAACATTATTTCTGGCTTGTGTTCTATTTGTCAATGACCCATTATCAATCTCATGAAGCTTCTATTTAACTTTTGACACTTTGCATCAAAAACTTCCACCACCTTCTCCTTGATGTACAAATAAAAAAAAATTAAATACTTAATTAAACCATGCATTTACTTGATCATGAAAAACTTAACCATAGATTAATTGAGAGAAGTAACTATCTTAATTAATGGAATTCACCGAGAAAATTATTGATTATAGGTTGTCATAGTAATCCTTCTTAATGTAATACCAAATTCTTTAATATCTTTTTGAGTAGTATATTTTGTTGCTACAATTTTCACCATTATCACTTTGGATTACCTATTTCTTTTCGCTTTAATATTGATTTATTGATTCTTCACATTAATTGTACAACAATCTTTTCTTGCTAACTCATTAACATGCTAACTATTATGTTATGCTGAAACACAAGGCTCGCTATTGGTCATTGGTGACAATGAAGTTGAAATTTGTTCCTCGGATAACATTACTCATTGTAAGATAAATTTGTTGGAACCTGATGTCGAGCACTCAGTTTCAGTAGACTTGATTTCTTCGCAAATGTCTAGCAACAAAAAGCAAAAACAGATCAAGATTAAGAAAGAGAATTAGAATATTCTACAGAGAATTCAAGCTCCTTTTTGATAAATCTATATCTGATTCATGATGTCTGAAACTTATATTTAGTATTCTGGTCTAAAACCTTATTTAGTAAACTTTTGTATGCACTACATATTTTTTTGGTGGTTTTTCATTGAGAAACCTAACTACTTGATATGATTATGATAGATATTTTGTTTATCAATATATTGATAATTATTGTCTTGATTCATAGATATATATACTTAATAGGTATCTCTAGATGTTTTAAATATTTTGTTTGGAACTAAACTTTATGCTACATACTAATTACTTGGTATAGCAAAATATTATAACATTAATCATATAGACATGAGACATTTTATCTATTTTGTTATGATACTAGGGAAATTATATTTTGATTCTTTTTTGTAGTTTAATAGTAAGTTAAATATATATTCAGCTTAGGTTGTATCATTTCTGACTACTTATATATTATTACTGTTTTATTTTGTATTCTTTTGCTACATCAATTTTTGTATATTAAACAAATCCGTGCATCGCACGGGCCTGAAACTAGTATCTAAACCAAAACAACTTATACACATAGAAAACTAATAAGTATTATATATCTATTTGTTTGCAAAAACTTTTGTGGATAAAACACATAAACCATTAAATTGTGTGTGTATAATATTGAGCTTATAGAATTAACACATATTATATAAATCTTAAACTAATTTACCCAAGCTTGATAGATCTTCATTGTAGCTAGACTTGGTAAACTCGCGGATGAAGCTTGATCTTGGATCTTTAACTTGAATTGCATGGCTTCACTCAACTATTTCCGCCAACCTCTATTGGAAGTGATCGTGAAAACTTGATTTCATCCATCCTCCAACATATTGCTTGTCTAAAATACCTGATAAGGAAACATAAACACTAGACAAACAATATTAGGAATTGTTTGTAATCATCAAAACAAGATTAGAAGATGTAGGCTCATAACATGAGACCTAACAAAAACCAGAGATGTCAAACCTGTCATGCACCCATACTGTGCATAAACATGTTTCACTAATCACAGCAATATCCTCTAGTGGAACCAGATAGAAGTGCAGGTACAAAACAGTCAAAATAAAGGGAATAAATGTAATAGACATGATATAAAAGAGATATCTCATAAATAAAAAGAATCATGTCTAGACATGATATAAAAGAGATATCTCATAAATAAAAAGAATCATGTCTCAACTATAATACATCTGATATCTGAATAATAAAAATATCTCAACATGAATCGACTAAAAATCGTACTAAGGCACATTGCCTTTACAATATAAAAAAAACTCTAATGTCTAGATAAAACTCAAAACTACAGTGGAGTCTCTGCAAGTAAAAATACACGACAGCGACTATGCCAGAACTCCGTCACCCTCCAGCTCTCCGAAACTCCGAACTACCTGAAAAGTAATTTAAAAGAAAAAGAACAACAACAAGAGCGTCAGAGCACTACAGCAAGATTACCTCCATCCGCCCCCAGGGAAAGGGCTGCTGGACAAAATGAAAACTCTATCTATTAAGCATAGTCTACCTAGATTTATTTTTCCCGTATCTAAGTGGGATTAACATTTAGAAACCTATAACACGAGACGTAGTACGTCGAACGAAATAATCCAAACAAGGAAACCCTCATGTATGTACCATAAGTCTCAAATTGTAGATATCTAAACATTAATACCGAAATAAGAAAATACAATCTAATGAAACCAACAATTGCAAATCGACAATACGAGACATTATACATATGCAGTAGTTTTTCTGCAGGACATGTTGTTAGTAAAAAGAACATATGTTTCTCTATACAAACTTTTTTTAAGAATTATTTTCTGTTTTTGAAACTAGATACTTACGGATTTCATTTGGAACTAATTTGGTTAAATTTTGAGTTATTTACTATCTCAAAATCTCAGTTAAAGACTATACAAGTGCTGTAGTTTTCTGTAAAAAATATATATTTAGTACATCTCTTAAATTTCTCATATATAAACGAAATTATGAATAACCCTAATGATCATGATCATGAAACTATTGTAAACAGTAAGGATTTAATATGAAACTAGCAAGAGATTAAGATCTAACATCAAAAATCATGTTTTTAACAACTCACGTTAAGATCTAATATATAATCAACAATTAAAACTTGTTAAATTCATTGTTTAACTAAGGGGATGGGATTGGATGCAGATAATCCTGCCTTAATCTCATGTGCAAGCCTCTAAAATAAATAGCAAGCAATCTACAAATGCAAACAACCCGTTCTCCCTTGTCACACGTCGATGATCTCGCCTTCGTGTCGGTGTTATGCTTCACAAAGCTTTAAAGATTCATAAGAAAAAGATCTAGGGTTTTTGAGGGGAGAGGTGTTCGCGTTGGAAATCGGTTTTATTACTTTCGAATCCATTACAACTTCAAGTGTTACAATAATTTAAAATAAAATAAAAATTAAGTCTTTTTATAAGACTTTCCTTACAATGAAAAGAAACAAAAAGATTTCCTGAGAACACACACAAAGATTGTTTATCGGTCTTTTGCTTACGCGGGATCTTTGCCTGTGCCGGGGTTAATCCGTGGACCACCGAGCGATCGGATCAAAAGAACTGTTTCATTGCCTCACAAAGAAGACAAGAAACTTAAGTGAATATCTCGACAAAGCGAGATACCCACTCTTCTCGAGAATCACAGCTAGGTATAATTTCGAGGGAAGCAGATGAACCGGATGCAAATCTCTCGAGCTATTCCTCTTTATGCTGAATAAGTCGCCGAGATCTCCTTCTCCTCTCTGAAAATTCATGTTCCTTCAGTCTCCTAACCGACAGGGCTTTGCCAAAGCTCTAGAATTCCGGATCTATGCAAATAAAGGTCCTAGGGCTGTATTTATAGGCTTTAGAAGCCCTGTTTTTGGATAAGAACGAACGATTTGCTCTTATTCTCAGTTGTAACAACTTAACCACATTCAAATATAACCTCAAATTAGTTTGGGAGGTTGCAAATAGAATCTTGGGATGCAAACAGTGTTTTCGGGGCCGGGACGCCCGAGACTGTCTTGGGATGCCCGAGACTATCTCGGGACGCCCGTTACTATTTTTGTCGTAGTTTTCTCATCCAATCTCGGAATGACGTGATTCAAAATACGTCAAAAAACTAGAGGAGAGATCTACAACTTCCCATAGGTGAATCATATTTGGAACGGACAAGACACGAGTGGCACTTCGCTTTTCGTGAATGAAACGTAACCTTTAACTGGATCATTTCTTCATTATTCTGTCGTCCCATTGGTTCGTGCGCTTTGTCGAATCGTTTCATACGCTTTGTCGATGTTAGATAATCCTCCTTGACTTGGATAATAACATTTATCATCTTCTCTTCGTCTCGAGCTGCGTGCGGAAACCCATAGATAATTTTTGATGCCTACAAGAGGGTGGCTGCTAGGGTTCATAGATGTGATAAAAGAGAGGAATTTTTATGA